TACAAACGTTAAGTGATTCCATAAATGTGGCCTTAAGACTATCTGTGGGATCATTCACTTAAAGTATGTATTTTTCCGAGTCATTTAAATGAACCCTCATGTTTTCTATATAACTTAACCTATCCAAGATGACCAGTGCTTTATGTGCTTTAAAAACAAACGGATCGTTTTGGTGCGATCGGATTGATGGTTAAAGCCTATATATAGAAATGGGATGATGGTGCTCATCAAACTTGATATCCAGGGACGGACGCAACTTTTGTTGTCCTAATTACTCTGGCTTTTGAATCTCTTCATCCAACACTTTCGATCAAAATGGAAATAAGCTCGACTGTTACTTTTGCTGTCCTGATTACTTTAAACCATCACTGCTGGTTTCATACATATGCAAACACATACAGACATATACATATACAGAGATAGACATACTCACATGCTCTGAGGTTGATATTTGACTGGGACTAACCAAATCACTTTATACTTTAGCAAAGAGGGCAGATATAGAGTATATATATATATAAATTTGGAATCGAAGGGGCGAGTATCTACCGAAATGGTACAGCTAAGCTAACCGAAAGCTGGTCAAGAGGAATCCGCCGTTGTATTCTTGTGGGATCTAACTTCAAGTCTTTTCATAGCACAATTTCACTCTTAACGGAAGGGAAATCAACAATCACTGCAAATAGCTTTCCATAAAAGTAGAAACATCAACCTAGGCTACCAAAACTTTGTTCAAAAAGACATATTAGGACTTGCCCTAGTCTTTTGTGAATTGCCAGGGGCAACTTTCTTTTGGCTTACTTACTCAGCAAAATTTTACTGCAACTCAACAATACTTCTTTTTAGATGGATACCTATTCTCCCCTTAACCGGATGCTTAGTATTCTCATTTATAAAATATAACTACTTGTGGTTAACTTAAATAGTATCGTTGAGGTAATCTTCATTTCCTATGAAAGTGCATGGAGAAGAGATTCATAGTTTGATCTCACTAGAAGACGACGGCTGAAGCCCGTTGTACTGCAGCCGTTTGGCTTAACTACAACGTTTAGGTTGATGCAGTCCACGAGGCAACCTCCCTCGCTTCGGGTGAAAACGGGCCGAACTTTCGTCCATCACATGATGGGCATCATCAGAGCTGCAACACATTATTGTAAAAGTCTTACTTTAACACTCGGTCAAGAAGGCTATCCGGCTCTATCTTACCTTTTATATATAGTCATAACCAAAAGCGAAAATGAACAGGAATAGGCGGATGGTTTGGCTACTTATCGTTCATACTGGTCCTGCTACTTTTTGCAGCAAATGTACACCTATTGGATTTTTGATATTTCGTTGATAGCATAGTATTATTCCAAAATTTTCTATTATTGATAGGTTTTAATTGCCACTAAGACATAATTGAGATCTGGAAAAATGAGTTCCAGCTCTGATGATGTCCATCATAGGATGGACGAAGCTCAGCTTGTTTTCACCCGAAGCGAAGGAGAACGCTTCGTGGACTGCGCCAACCTGAACGCCATAGTAAAGCCAAACGGCTGCATTACAACGGTAGTTAGCCGTCGTCTTCTGGTGAGATCGACGTACGAATCTCTTCTTCATGCACTTTAATATGAAATGAAGGTCCCTTCAACAATGTTATTTCAGAAGATTCCTCGAAACCCAGTTACTCTTCGTATTTAAACAGTATCACTTTATAGAAGTTGATTGACCTCGTTGTCACAACTTGGTCGTATGGGAGACTGCGACCATAACAGAGGCCACAACATCTTGGTCTTTCTATATTCAATATCACTTTAGCCTGTCGCTATAGAGATCAATAAAAGTTCTCGGCCGAGCATCATCCTTAACCTATGGAGGTTGGAAACAGGTTTCGGATCATTTCCAAAGCAACAAGAGGGGCTCATACTGAGCTTTCTGGAGACCAAAGACAAAGACGAGTGAAATCACACATTATACATTTCATACACATCAAGTCTTTAAGACCCTACTTTCATAAAAGTCTGCCAACGAAAGGGTTTGCGCCATTAACCAGCTGGGCCATATTCATATGACATGCATTATTTTACTCGAGTCCTGGGTCGAACGCAAAATTCCCAATTAAGGTTTCAGGTCAGTCAGGCTTGCTTCTCCTCCAAAGCCAGGCTTGCTAAGTGATTCTACGGGGTTAAATTCCTGAGTTTTCCTCTTCTACCGCTCATTCATGGTTCGAATCTTACTAGGAGTGCTGATGAGACTGTGAGGCTAGGCCGAAACTACAACCAAGACCGGAAACAGAGGGTCTTTTGGGAGATCAGAATCATTGAACTTAAATGCGAAAGTCAAACCTTCTCTTTACTTCACCTTGGGCAATGAAGCCTTCGATAGACTAAAAACACTTAATAATTGTAGCACTTCAATAACGATCAGTATATTAATAGCTGATTATTTACTCTACAGCCTGGTTGTACTATCAAGTCTTCAGAAGAATCCATACGATGGAAATTTCACCGGTCCCTGAAACATGGCTGTACATGAAGAGGAATCATGTACTTGTTCAAATGTCTATGATGATTAATGCATACTCGAAATGAGGCTGGCAATAAACCTTAGAAATTAAATCAGCTAGCTTTTGGTAGATTTCAGCCAGACTTAATACCATCTCTTGTGACGGGCAAGAAGGGTCGCGCATTCATAAACTGGTTATTTTGAGCCTGTTTTCAAGACATCTGACCATAGTGCTTCTGTATGGTGCCAAAATGATGAGAAGCAAACATGTTATGTTCATAGTTTGAGCAGTAGTCACCCAAACAGAAGTTTAGGGGCTAGTTTCGCCTTGTATAATCATGTCCATGTGTGTCTGTATGTGTCTTGCGTGTGTAACTTAATGAGAGCGATATAAACGGAAGGGAGGCATGATCAAGCCCAATTCAATAGTCTGTAGTGTTCTTAAGTGCGTGCCCTGGCAATTGCTTAATGTATTGGCCGAGTCATGTTATTACATACACATGCTACAGCCACTCTATAGAGCTAAGGCTATTTTCTAACTTGGCAATTGATTCATAGAAGCCTCACCGGTATGATCTACAATAGTAATATATACATGTTATCCCTACTGGGGATCCAAAGGAGAATCATACACGCAAAAATTCACACACCTTCAATCTAAAAGACCTTCGAATTAACCTGAGTACGGAAGGGTCAATGCCGCAAGTCTTATAAACCCATATATATTAATATATATATATATATATATTAATATAATATTTTAATATAATAGAGAAAGCAAAAATATTTACAATGTTCTCCATTTACATTGCAAAAATGACAGATTTCATATTTACATCGTAGCTGCTTAGAGTTAAAATCAGCACTCATTCGTCCAAGGAAAGGGAACGCCGATGAATATTGGACTACGAAATGGTTTTATGAAAATCTCCTTCATTTAAGATTTGCAGTGTTTGGCTACCAAAATCTGCTTCTTTTGTTTTTGACTGACGACCCATGATAAGCAAGATCGAACGTATAGTCGCTTTGATAGGAGTGTCTTGATTTTTCGTATCTGAAAACTGGTATCATTGATAGTTAACCATTCAAACTTGACAGTTAGCTTGTTTGCTGGTCCAACAGGTAAATTTTTGGTAATGCTCTGCCCAAAAAAGTCATTTCTACTGCTGTATTCCTCTCATCAAATACCAGACACTCTAGTCATCAGATATGAAAAATAGTCTTTATTCAAATGAACTGGCAAAATTTTCCAAGGATACCTTGACTTGGCTGGAATACACTCATTTGCCTCCATTAATTTTAATTTATAACAGTGAAAGAGCTTCGACGGGGATAGTTCCTGAATTAAGACCCAGAAGGAGTCAGGATATGGGTCTCAGATGTAGATGAGGACTGAAAATATGGAAAAAAGCAATGTTTCGAAGGCTTCATTAATGATTTATTGTGGCGATATGCAATAGTATAGTATATTGTTGCACTTTTTAGTAATATATGGTTTCTCATTTTGAAGATGTCTGCCACAGTACAGAGGAAAGCTTGGTATGAGCTCATCGAAGTTGCCGGATGGTGAACCGAGGACTTATTCGCATAACCCAACAGTCTCCACTTTAAATCTTCCAATCCTCCTCCGATTTCCAATCTGACGATTTCACAAA